AAACTTTTTTTTTTTAATTTAAAGTTGGAAGGAATAGACAGTTTGTATTTGAGGACTGGTACCAGAACTTCTGTGGGTATTAGGCTTGGAGCCAGGTTTAATAAATCATCCCTCTGTATATGTATAAAGAGGATAATAAAACTGCTTGTGGTAGCAAGCAAGGTTGAAATTTCTTTGTATACAAATGGTTCAGTAAATATGCAGATGGGATTAAGGGCAAATGGCATTTTTATGTAGCTGCTGGGGTGTGGTGTGGGTTAAGGAAGCTTCAAAAGAGAAATGTAAACATTCTCTGGAGACATTGGTATTGAACTAAATCAAAGGCCTTACCTTTGTATAGGATTTATAAGGTAATGCATGGCAAGAGAAACTATAAAGCTGCATTTATGGTATATAAAAGCGATGATGGGATTGATTTTCTTTTTCCAGTGAACAGACATGTAGTTTAACTCTTTGGTGTCACAGTATGGAATGTGGTGTTTCAAAAGCTGAAGACGGATCAGTCCTCTAAAGAACGGAGCTCTGGGGATAGACTACGTATATTGGCAGTGATCTATAGGCAAATGGTTGCTCAGGGTTTAATTTTTTGCTGTAAAAAACTGCAATCAGTTCTTTTTAAAATGATGAAAACAAGAAATGCAAACAATAATAAAAGGTTTATATGTTACAGATTTAATGACTAAAGACCTTTACAGTGTATAAAAGGTAGGAGTCATGTTGGCTGGATTAAATGATAAAGGGAAAATTAATCCCTGAACCTTCCATTCTCTCCTGGCAGGTAGCTGTGTTTTTTTTTTTTTTTGTCTTGTACAGCACTAATTACCCTGCCTTTGTTATCAAACGATAAGTAATCCTGATAATTGCTGCACAAGAGAGGAACTCCTCCCTGAAAAGAGGCAGAGATTTTGGCTATAGGTTTCCCATATGAAACAATATAGGCTGGTCTCAGTTTCTTATTTGTTTAGGCCAGTTCTGTCAGCTTCTCATGCATCAAACATTTCTCCAGTTTAATTTTTCATTGTCAAAGTGCAGTAGCTCAGGTGAGCAAATGGATGAAATACCACGATTGTCTTATTGCTCAAACATGTTCCTCACATCCAGCGGAACCCCAGCTAAAGTTCTCTCCGCACCAAAGATACAACCAAGGCTCTTTCCTGGTTGCAGAACTTAGTTAAGGTCCTGTCTACCCTACATATTGGAGTCGTATTTGTGAATGAATTGGGGGTCAAGTGCCTGTAGTCAGAATCCCAAATACAGTTGTATATGGAATATTAGACAGGACCTTTGGAAAAACAGCAGTACTGTTATTATAGCTTTTTCCAAGTCTATGTTGTCCAGCCATATGACTCCACCATGGAGGAGGCCAGGGCAAGAAGGCTCTGGGACCAAAGAGTATCTTTGAATGTGACACTCTTGTTTTTCCTGACTCCCGACTGTCAGTGTGTGAGGAAGAATGGGCCTGGGAGCCTGGTATGATTTATTTTGCACCCTTTCATGGCTAGTTGCAAAGTGTGTTCTGCTACCTCAGGAGAGGCTGTTTGCACTCTCAGCCTCAGACAAGAGTAAGGTTTACATGGGTGTTATACAGGGAAATGTGGACCCCACTTGAAGGGGCAATTGAAATCACTATTGGTCAGAACAGCCCACATTCCTTAGTCATTGCCTCAGGAAGTGGGGAGATGAGCATTGGGTCAATATTAGGAAGGGGAAGGAGAATCTTCAGTAGGTTAGTTGAGTTCCTTTCACTGCAGAGAGATGCCACAATAACTATTATGGCCAGAGCTAAATTCTTCTAGAGGGGAAAGGAGAGTAACAATGTAGGAAGTCAGAGGAAGCTATAAGGGAGAAGGATGGTGCTGTAGAGGATTACAGGCTGGGTGATCCAACAGAAGAGGTTCAGCATGTTCTTTTTCCATGTTGTTGCTTTTCACCTCATACCAAATTCCAAACGTGTCTTCCTCTGTTCCCAGGAACAGCATATATGGGATGGTGTATAATGCATTTTAAGAAGGGATCAAAGCTGGAAGCTGAATTCATAGTTATCAATAGGACAAGTGGAAAGACTGGAGTATGGTTCAGCTTTTATGATTTCGTAGAACATATATAACAGAAAAGGCATCTGCTTTAGAATAATTTGTATGCCAAGAGCAATTCTACTGTCTGGAGCAAAATAGTCCATGTTTCAAATTCTAGTCCTGCTGCTTGTGGTAGTTTGATTTTTTGTTGTGCTCTCTGCTGCCTGCCTACCTACCAATCTATTTCTAAAGCACCAGTCACCATGGTATCTAAGTGCCATCCTGTCTAGGACCAATCAGTGGAGTCAAAAACTCTGTAAAAATTGAAAATGTGCTGATAAATAATTTAAGGACCCCCCTGAGCATTCAAATAATTAATGACTGGTCAGACAAGTTTTCCAGAGGCAAACCCCAAGGGAGCACCTTGTCATCTTCAGTGATGTGAAATAAAATAATAAAATAAATTCCAAGAAGCTGTATAGTCTTCCCACCCTACCATGTTGTAAATTGCTTTTCCAGATCAAAAGCCTGCTTTAAAGGGAAGCTAATAGAAAAGTGTTCTGAGACACAAACTCTTCTGAAAATCAATGATCTGTGTTAATTCTAATCAACCTATCTATCCTCATGGTTCAAATGAGACAACATTAAGCACAGTATGCCAGTCCTCACCTTCATATGTGTGCCATGAATATACAACCATTGACCATTGGAGTGATGAAATATCACTATGCAAGATTAAGATATTGAATTTTATTGTGTCCATCTATTATTTTCATTAAATGATATCTGTCTCTGTAACAGGGATCTTTGTAATGTTACAGAAAAATGAAAGACCGTTGCAACTGCTAGCCTATCTTCTGTGACTTACTATTTCTCCTACCTCCAGAAATGTAGGCCAGAGAGAATACACAGTGAAGGAATTGGATAAGATGGGGGCAGTGCTTTATGGCTCATGTGAGCACACTGTGTGCTTCAGAGTGCCTCAATGAGCAACCTGTTGAGCAAACATGAAGTGCAAATGTGGCGTGGGTTTCCCCTCACATTTTTAATGTTGCGTTCGGTTCCTTCCGGTGCAAAAATATAGACTAAAATGTAGCAGGACCAGATTCTCACCTCTTAAGGCCCTTCACCATGCTCTAGCAATGTAAAGCAATGTTTACGTTCTCTATAAGGCCCTGTCAGAACAGTGTAACAGAGACTTAAGGTAAATGAGCGTAAGACCCCCTGTGTTTCCAAGAAATTTGCACCCATGTCCACCCCTAACCTAGGGAACTGGATAGGCTGGGCTCTAAACTGAAGCAGAATAGCACTATCTGTTTCAAAATCAGTTTCAGGTAGGGCCCTTCCCTGATGCCTTCCCCTCATTTCAGTTAAAGTTCAACTACTTGATTTGTAAATGCAGCAGTGTGATACAATCAAGTGCAGAAATGCTGCTGTGCCATTAGCTCAGTCAGGCAAACAAGCTTTGCCAACTCCATCATAAACTACCTTGCGGTAATATTAACTCCTGCAGTTAAAGTGCCCCTCCCCCAAAAGCGACACCAGCTCTGTTCTTTTCTCTGGATGCAAGCTAGCACAGAGATATGAGGGGCTGGACTTTATGAAAATGTTCCCTGTTAAACAAAATTCTTTCCTTTTGTGGGTGGGGAGAGGCCTCTGCAATTCCGTGATGTCTCTAATTCTTATACCATCCTGAGGATTCCCACCGCCTACAAGTCTCTCCTCTGCACCCTCAAAGTCCCACGGCAACAGCTTGTGTCCCTGCAGATGAGCAGGACTTTGGGCTCTCTATGGAGACCATCAAAGCTCTTCCTCTAGGAGTCAGTAAATTTTACTCCAGAAGGTTTCATTGCCATAACTTAGGTAATTTGTTTTGGCTGTTTTTCTTTGTATCCTCTTAGTATAAAGTGCTTAATTTTCGTCTATAGGAAAGAGATCAATCTAATCAAGTTAAAACATAATCAGCACAAACGAATAAATGATGCACAGGTACTTCAATGGGAAATAACTAAAAGCAACTGGATTTTTTAGTATCACATTTTTCATCTTTAAAATCCCATGGGGGGTATTCTGGATTGGGAGAAATCAGTATTTCAGAGCAAAACTAATAATTTATTATTTGTATTGTGATAGCACTTAGGAATGCCAGTCCTGCACCCGGACCGCACTCTGCTAGTTGCTATCCAAACACAGAACAAAAAAATGGTTCCTCCCCAAAGATCTTACAATCTAAGTATAAGGCAAGAGATAGCAGGTGGATACAGGCAGACAGACCAGGGGAATACAAGGACACAAGACAATATTCATCAGCATACCAGCTGCCTAACTGTTCTCAAGTTTTATGTAAACTTCATGGCAAAGAAGAGAGCTAAGAAAGGATCGGAAGAAGGAGAATGAGGCAGCTTCACAGATGTTTATGAGGAGTTTGTCCCAAGTGTTTGGGGCAGCAAGATTTTTTTGTTTTTAAATTAACAATGTGTGGGGATAGGCCGTGAAAGTAAAGACACGTAGCTTATGTGTGATCAGCAAGATTTCAACGCAGCCTGGGTCTGAGAGGTCTGAGTCGAAGATGACACCCAGGTTATGGGCCTGAGTGACAGGGAGCATGTTGGTCATGTCCACACGATGGAGAGGGCTTGGGGAAAACACTGGGGGCTCTCTTTTGGCCATGTTGAGAATGAATTGATGGCTGGACATCCACAAGGAGATGTCAGCGAGATGGGCCAAGATTTTAGTTCAGAATGAAAGACAGATGCAGAGTAGAGAGGTAGATTGGCAGCACTGAGATAGTAGTTGACTTTAATAACAGTATCTTTTTTGGATATATGGTTTGTGTTGGTTTGGTTTTTAAATGAGATGACCTTTGCTTTAATCTTTGCCAGACATCTCCATAGGTCCCAAGTGTCCTATGTTTAGTAGCAATTTCAGAATAACAGTTTGCACAGCATTTTAATGTAACTTCTGATCTCCATCTCTCTGCTTCAGATTTTCATCACGGTGAATTGCCTGAGCACGGATTTCTCCTCTCAAAAAGGAGTGAAAGGGCTTCCTTTGATGATTCAGATAGACACATACAGCTACAATAATCGCAGCAATAAACCCATCCACCGGGCCTACTGCCAGATCAAGGTCTTCTGTGACAAAGTGAGTGAAGATGACATTGTGAAAGATGGAGGGAGCCCATATCCAAGGTCTCCTTTTTCTCTTTTAGGTGCTTGCTATCACCAATATTTGGAGTGGCTTCTCCCCTCTCCTCGAATGGGTTGGGGCCTGGGTTCTTTTATTTTTTCTTGGTGCATGGAGCCTCCACACAAAGTGACTCCTCACTGTGCCCTATACACAGGGCTGCAGTCCCTTGAAAAATCAATGATAACCCTACAAGCTGGAAAGGAGTGTAAATCCCAGGACACAGGGGACAATAAGGTAAATAATAGCAGCGCAGAAACACCCCTTCAAAAATAACAGTGTAACAAAGGGAGGGGGAACTTTACTGGGAACAGGAACATAGGATCTGGGAAAGGAAGGGATTAAGGTTAACTAATAAACATTTCTAAATAAACCATTTTCTGCCTCCTTATACTCACAAACTCCTCCGACCACACCTCATCCCCTGACACCTTAGCGGGGTTAGCCAAGGCTGCATGTGCCGAGATGGAGAGCTGCAGTGCAGTGACATTAACCAGCTTAACCAGAAGTCACCTTACTTTTACTTCACCCCTTGTTGGGCAGGGCCCTCTCCTGATTCCAGCCAGGCTTGCTGGTTTCCTGGTCTGAAATTCTCCTAGGGTCTTGGCTGGCTGTCGGTAGCTGTCGCTCTGTCTGGATGTTTTTCGCAATCGTCCTGCTGCTGCTTGATCCAGGCAGCTAAAGTCTCAGAGCATGCAAATGCCCTTCCAGGGAAGGGAGAATTCAGCAGGAACTCCCTGAGCTGCACTTTCTCTCTCCCAGCTCCAAAACTCAACAGAAACCCCAAAACCACCTTTCTTAGTCAGTCTGTCCCTTACCCGGTTTTGAGGCCTGGGACGTGCAGGAGCTCAAACTGGATGATCACAGTGGGTCCTTCTGGCCTTAATGAGTCTATCCACAGTGGATCAGCTTCAACAGGAGAGACAGAGGGAGACCCATATCAGAATTTCCTATAACTCAGTAGTTAGTGCACTCTCCTGAGCGGTGGGAGACCCTTATTCAAATCCTTTCTCCACCTCTGGCAGAGTGGGGCAATTAAACCTGATCTCTCACATCCAAGGTGAGTGCTCTAACCACTGAGCTAAAAGTTATCAGATGGTCACCTTCTCCAGCCAGATTTTGAATGGGCCCTGATCTGGTGGGTGTGCTCAGAGGCAGGGGTGTGCACAGGAATTTAAAATTTTACCCCTTTGGGAGGGGCACGTTCTGTGCCCCCACCAAGGCCCAGGGTTGGAGGAGCTGTCAGCTCTCGCCGTGGCCCCCGGGGCTGGAGGAGCTCACTCTCCCCAGCCCCTGCTGCGGCCAGAAGGAGCTCACTCTCCTCCCTCCACTGCAACCCCAGGGCTGGGAGGAGCTCGCTCCTTCCCCACATTGTGGCCCTGTGGCTGGAGGAGTTCTGTGTCCCTAACAATTACCTGCTTGCCCCCACTTGTGCACACCCCTGCTCAGAGGCTGCCTACTGGAGCAGGCCCTGCACGCGACTTACGCTGGTGAACACCTATCTTCCCCTCATTCATGAATTGCTCTGGGGCTGAGGCAGGAGACTGGCATCTGGACACTTAGAGGGAGGCAGCAGTGTACGTGCAAAGAGGCAGAAACTTAGGTTCCGAGGGAACTTTTACCCTGAAAACTTAGGTGCTAAGTGAGTCTAGGTACTTACAGGGTTCAGCTGGAGTTTTGTGGATTATAGTGGAGCCTCAAACTGGAATTTAGGCACCTGAACAAATCTGAGATGTGGGCACCTAAGTCTGGCAGTTGAGTGCCTAAGTGCCTTTGTGGATCCTGCCCTAAGTGACTTAGGCACCTAAGTACCATTGAAAGTCAAGGGGTCTCAGGAAGCTAAATCATTTAGGTGCTTTTGAAAATGTTACTCAGAATTCTGATTCCCATTTTACAGATGGGGGCAGAAAGTTAGAGGCACGCCAAGCCACAGGGAGTCAGTGTTAAAGTAAGTGTGAGATCTCAAGCGCTCCAGGCTTCTAGACCTTTCCTCAGATCACGATAGCACTCCCTCTCCTTTTATCCACTATCTCCCTCACAAATTCCCCCCTCCTTCTAGCACCCTCTTGGCAACAAAATCTTTGAAGGCTAATCAGGCAGTTTTATGAGTGGAGAAAAAATGTTGAAAGTAATTAATGTAAATGTATGCGCTGAAGTCATCTTAAGGCCTAAGTGCTATATTTTTAATTGTAACTTTGAATGTCAAATATTTACAGAGATTTAAAGCTACAACTGGCTGTTAAAAGCTCAGTAAATATCAAAGGAATGAGTGTTTTTCATCTACCCATTTTTAAAAAGCAATTAGAAAAATATGAACTATTAAAAAAATTAAAAAAGGAAGAAAGACATCTAGAGCACAACCTCAGCAAGGGTGACCTGCAGATTTGAATTATAAATGTTCATTACTTTGACTATCTATCCACCTAATTGATACTTCACATTTCCAGGCTAGGAAGCAGGAAATGAATGCTGAGACATTTAATCAAAACCATCTTAAAGTAGGAGAAAACATCACGAGGGTAGTTAAAATGTTACACACATCAAAACTATGTTAAAGATGTGGGCTGGAGAGCACAGGGGATTGGGAACAGGATATAAAACCTTTTAACTGTAGGTTGTCCTAAAGGCTGATAATGACTGAGATTCATCCCTCTCTGAAGGATGTTTAGCGGCCTATGTGAAATGATTTGATGGGGTCTCAGTCCAGTTCTTAATGTGCAAGAGTTCACTTCACTAAACTCCATCACCATTGGTGCTCACTGGCACTTTGTGTAGATATTGGGTCCTGATTCTCCGCTCCGTTACGCAGGTATAAATCAAGATTAACTCCACTATGGTCAGTTTGAGTTACACTGATGTAAAATGCTTGAAAGTGAAAGGAGAATCAGGTCCCAAGTATTGGTTGGGCAAGGAGATTCAACTACCCTCTCTGCTCTCTCCTATACATACATGTGTAGTCTCATATTCACCTGGTTACCTCCTTCAGCATCAATCTCCTTATGAGATTTGATGGACAGGCCTGGCTTCTTTTGGTTCCCACCTCCCACTCAGCAGAGTGTAACTTCTTTATTTTCTTCCCATATGAATTTAGTTGGCAGTGCCTACACCCACCTTGCTTCTTTCTGGCAGGTCACCAGGTCAGCTTGGGAGAAAAATTCTAAGCACTGGGAAATCCCCACTTATTTGCCAGATAGTTGGAGACACCCAAGAAATAACAAACACATTATATATATATTCAACAGAGTAATGTGGGAAGAAAATATAACATAACAGGGTAAAACATTACTCTTAGGGTCACAGCTGCCCGCACTGATAATACCCAGGAATTTCCCCAGTCCCGTGACCTGATAGAGCAAAAGTCAAATTTAGTGTCCCATTGGTATGTGTACGTCATAAGGGCCCTTGATGACCTGTGACAATGATATCTTCTGTAGTCCCAAAGCAACTTGGCTGATTGGGTTCAGTACAGCCCACAAAATTCACACATGAGATAAGGTGGTAAGTCCTTCAACAGGTTTAATAGGCAGCAGGAAATAAAATCCCCCAAGCCTTACCCCTCAGCTGGAGGACACAGTTCAGGGAATAGGGGGTTCCCCAAACAATTTCCCAGACTAGCTAACTAAAAGATGGTGCACTCACAACTCCACGAATGGACTTTGGACTCCTCAGCAACTGCAGAGAAGCTGATGATCACTGCTCTCAGGAACCCTCTTCCTGCAGGAATGAGGCTGATTCTGTTCCCGAGATTTCCCCTCACCACTAAAGGATGCAAGGCTCAAGGTGCAAATTATAATAACTCAAACTCTAATCTCCTGCCCTAGCGCTCAGATACACTCACGGCAGGCAGACAGGCACGAGCAGCAAGAGCAGCACTTGCCACGTGGCAGCTGTATTTATCTCGGAGCTGGAGGGCCAACCCAGTCTGGCTGAGTAGGGCGGTTTCCCAACAGAAATCAGAATTCCATACACTGGGAGTTACCTTGAAGAGGGAAAGGGCCAGGCTTATGGCTATTGCTTCCAGGTACCCAGAAGCCAGTTCTCAGGGGAACCCTGCATGCAGGCCTGGGACTCAGGAGCTCACCCCACAGCCAGTCCTTCCCTTTCAGTGGCTGGCTCCAGATTCCTCCAAAAATGGCTTCTCCCCACTCACAACTCTCCTAGGGGCAAGTATCTCACTTCCTGTTGGTCAGGCTACCTCTTCTTCGAGGGCATTTACTTGTCAATCATTTGACTGTACTCCCCCCTCCCTGCTTTCTCTCAGGCACTGCTCCTCCTTTGAACAGGTGCACAGGTGACCATCCAGGCACCCTTCTACCACCCCCCACTTCCCCGAGCCAACAGGGGCCCCTATTGCTCAAAATAGTCTCTTTCCCTCTTGGTTGCTCAGCAGACTCTGAGTCTGCCCTTGGCTCCCCTTCCAAGCAGGGATAGCGCCTCCCCGTGAGTGACAAGCACACAGATCCAGGAACCAAGTAAGCTCTTTGGGGGTTGGAAGATCCTTGGAAGCCAGACCTTCCTGAGGATTTAAACTGACTGTTTCAGAGTGACGGCAGACCAAAGTACTCAGTGGGGATTGCAGCAGCAGCCAATGCCCTTTGCATCCTGCTGAGGCAATCAGAGAAATTCAGGCAGCAAAAAGGAAGAAGAAGAGGCAGATATGAGCTGATCAGAACAGCAAAATAGACAAGAGGTACTGTATTTTTACTACCAACAGTCTAACTCGAGCTTCTCTGGCTGGGTTTCTCTTACAATTCAGTTATGTGCCACCTAATGACACAGAAAGGAAAGGAAGAAAAGGAAATTTCTTTGTGCCTTTTGTTGCTCCTTTCCAGGATTAACAAAAAAATTACCATGAAAATAGTTTTTAAAAAGATAAACACACAACCCCTGAAGTATTTGCAAAACAAGCATTGCAGCATCATGCTGGGGATCACATAGCCAGAAAATGAAAGTGACTA